CCCCCCCCCCCCCCCCCCCGCGAAAACAGGGATGCCAGGTCAATGGTCTAGCAACGACTACGGTATGCGCTTACATGGTACATCCGCCCCCCTCCCCTGCAGAAACAGAATGTGCAACAGCCAGGGGAGTCGTGGTTCTAGTCTCTCCGCGCACCCCCCCGCCCCTTCCCGATCTCACACTCGTGTTGTCTTCTTGGCGCTTAGCCAATAATATTGCAGTTGTTTGCTTTGGCGTAACGGGCCCCACACCAGCCATCCACGAGTCGTTTTTCGTGCTTCGGTTGTGGTCTTCAGTAGGCCACACCGAACCCTTCCGTCTCTCCCTTCCTCTTGACGGCCTCGTTTAGGTCCTTGACCATGCCCATGCACTCTCCTCTCAGGCTCTGGAAGTCTAAATCCCGCCCCTTCGTCTCCACGAACTCCTTCAGGAAGAAGATGTTGGTCTCGTACGTTCGCATCTTCCTCTCGAGGGCTTCCAGCGTCTTCCCCTAAAATCGCCCACACGTTTTCCAGTTTGTCAACGACATGTTTTCACTATCTTGATTGGATGCTTCTTCGCCATTGGCTTGCGATACACCCACCCCAAGGCTATACCCAGGCGACTTCCTCAAATTGATGGGACGGTTTTGTTCCAGACGGTCGGTTTTGTGTTCGCTTTTTGGAAAGACTCTGGCTTTGTGTGTGTATGTGTGTGTCTATATTATTAGCATCGACCGCGCTAACCGGCTGACTAATGAAGAGACGTCAGTTTCCGTGCGGTTGAAAACACAAAAAAGTGCGTGTGCGTGTGAGCGTTTCGTGCCTCGCGGCACGGTTGCTGCTTGACTCCCTTGCCCTCACCGTCTCGCTGGCGGCGAGCTCCTTCTTGCAGGCCTCGTGCCTAGCCGTCAGCTGCTGCACCTGCCCCCGCATCGCCTCCACCCGCCAGCGGTACTGCTTCCTGAGCCCCTGCAGGTGTTCCTAAGACCATCGGGCGACAAGATATGGCTAAGGTTGGGGTTTCTGCAAACAACGACAACTGCGACTACGACGACGATGATGATGGCAGGCGTGGTCACAGCCGGGCGGACCAAGTCACGGTCAGTGAGGCACGGAGACCGCCACTTTCTGAACGATCGAAGGGGGCTCGTGACCTCCAAGCGACGGCCACTCCAAATCGTCTGCATCTGTTGCCGGCTACATAGCGCTGCCTGGCCGTAGGCGCGCCCGACACAAAATGTCTTGGGAAAGTAGGAGGTGGAACAACGTTTGACCGTGAAAACTTAATACAAAAACCGAACACGAAGACAGACACTGGAAACACGTTCGTTCACGAGTTGATTGTTCGACACAGCGGCACCAAAAACAAGTCGCAAGACACGCGCGAACGCGCCAATAGTCATCTAGACCAGAGAAAAACAGGTTCTGAACGATGCGTGACTTACCCCTGCCTGAGTCCAAGAACCGTGGGCGTGAGCAGGGACGGAAAACATTTCACGACGATAGACAGACGGGGCATGCGGGATGTCACATTGCTTTGCGCACCTTCGTTTGTGCAGCTTCGTCTCGTAGGCCGTCGATGTCGTCGAACTCCTTCATCTCGCTACGCATCCGATCCATCTGTTTGCGTGATGACGTTTGTATTTTTGTTGATTTTGTTGTCGTTCTTCAAAGTAAACAAGATACTGTAGTCTACACACCCGACGTCTGCTCACTCTCGACAACGACAGGGAATTGTCACCACTGGCGGTAGCATTTCGCCTTACATACCGCGGAATAAATGGAAAAACAAGGTACTACAAAAATCATCCGAGAACCAACGTATGATGCCGTGCAGCCCAACCTAAAACCAGAACTTCGCGGGTATACCCTCGATTCCCCGAGAGTTCCAACGGATCCTGAGCAACGCACGGGCGGGGAGGGAAATAAACAATAGTATCCCCGCAAACGTGTTGGAGGCGTTTCTGCCAGGAGTTAGAAGTGCGGGGCTCCGTCTCGATGGAGACATGCGGTCAACGGTCCGGCTACGAAGGCAAGCCACAAACGAGAACCTCCCTCCCCCCCTTGTCTCTCCGTCACCAGATGGCTACGCTGCAGCAGTGGTAGGGGCGGTTATGCGGCGTTTTTTTTTTTCCGTCTCACCTTTTCCTTGAGGTTGTTCAGTTCCAAGGGTATCTACGACACGAAACACCGACAAGCGCACACACGAACGGCCCCCATTTTCGTCCGTATCACCAATCGTTCCAAGGAAATTTTATCCGCACGTCGGGGGAATTGTGGGAAAATGCAGGGCAACAGACGGACGGTCAAAGAGAACGGACGTAAATCATGGGGGAACGCGCACAACGGCAAAGGAATGGTTGTCGCGATGATTGCCTCCGTCTCCTGAAATTCAAACGCGTGTACACGCGCCATGAAAGCAATCGGTTGAACTTCATATTAGGGGGGCGGCAGGAATAGCGTCGTTTCGCAGTGCGACCAATGGAGAACGCGATCGATGCCGGGAAGCTTGCCTTTTCAGGTAAGGGGGGGGGGGTACTCATAGTCGTGCATGCTCGCAGCCCTACAAAGCCGGGACGGAGCACGCCGGGTTCTCACCGGACCAGGCTTTCACATCACCAAGCGCGAAGCGCCGTAAGATATTCGGCGACTCGCATGAAGGGTGCGCTGCATCCTGCTAAGGGTGTTCGGCATCTTGTGCTTACTTCCTTGCGTACGGATGACAGCTGCGTATGACTTAATTTATTTTCTGGTGCTTTCACTTCCCGGACCAGGCTCTCACATCACCAAGCGCGAAGCGCCGTGAGATATTCGGCGACTCGCATGAAGGGTGCGCTGCATCCTGCTAAGGGTGTTCGGCATCTTGTGCTTACTTCCTTGCTTACGGATGACAGCTGCGTATGAGTTTATTTATTTTCTGGTGCTTTCACTTCCCGGACCAGGCTCTCACATCACCAAGCGCGAAGCGCCGTGAGATATTCGGCGACTCGCATGAAGGGTGCGCTGCATCCTGCTAAGGGTGTTCGGCATCTTGTGCTTACTTCCTTGCGTACGGATGACAGCTGCGTATGAGTTAACTTATTTTCTGGTGCTTTCACTTCCTGAAACAGTTGTAAGCCCCGTGCAACTGCCTCGAGGATGCTTGACCATTTTAACACAACGTGGTGCGATCATCCCCCTTGCGCGAAGTGAGGGTTCTCGACCCCGCACAACATGATCTACTCGACCACTAGTATGGTTCTCGCGTAAAAAACAAGTAAAAAAACGGTAACCTGGTTGCCGAGTTCACGAAGTGAATTGACTTGTTTTACAACGTCGTTGCCAAGCGACGAAAACCCAACCCCGATGGCAAACATCGGGGTGGGGGGGGGGGAGCGCAAACCAGCAAACAGCTGCAGCGACATTCACCGGTGACCACAAAACAAGGGAACGTCAACACACAGCCGCCCTTCGACAACGAGGAGCGACAGCAGGAGCCCAACCACGCTTCGCCACTGTGACGAAGTTGGCGGGCATGGCTACCTTCGGCGGCGATCGGACAGACGGAAGAACGAAAACAGCTTCTCGGGGATGGTTTTGGTTTGGTTGGTTGGGTTTGGTTGGTTTGGTTTGGTTGCCGCAGGGCCCCTGCAAGCAAAAACAAAACATCGGTACATACTAACGTGTAGGTGGTATAGTTTGTTGTCAACAATAAACCATTCGTCGGGGTTCAACCGGGAAGATGATCACATACCTTTCGGCAGCTTACGCGATGTTGGAGAGGGAGTGGTTGAGAAGTGTATATGATTGTCGCTATTGTTGCCTAAACGTACCGCACATCCCAACTACTTCCTGCTCTCCCGCCCCCTCCGCATCCCGTCTGTTGTCAATACCGCCGTGCGTATAGCAATGACTTCGCTTCTCTCAGTGAGTTCGGCCACCTTTTCGTCGAGAGTCTTGACTTTTTCCATCTCCTGGAGGCGTTTCTCCTTGTCTTGGTGCAGCCGCCGCATCGTGGCCTCAGAGCTCTTGAGCTGCTTGTCCTTGAAGCTTTTCTCGTCTTCCATTTCCTGGCGGCGGTAACAACAACAACAACAACAACAACATCAGAGGTTTTCCCCCCATCTCTGAAAAGACTATGGCTTAATACATTCCCTTCGACTGTGGTATCATCCCGAACGGAAGGCGTTCTATGATGGTATGTGCATTATCTAAACAAGGGAGGTTATTGGTTTCGGCACCCCACCAAGATCCGCAATTATGTCTGCATGTATTTGGCAGAATTTAGCACGCCTACGGTAGAGACAAGAGGAGGGAGCAGGTGTCACCGGGCCGCGACCGTGATCGAAGTGTCTCCGAATTGTCGATACGTGGCACAGCTTCTTCTCTGGGCTTGAGAAGGTAATCAAGGTTGTCGTGTCATCTACATCGGTCCTGGGTCAACATAGTCCCCCGAATCCGCATCAAATCACACTACCGTGAGTGGGTGCGGTAGCCTCCATGGGAAGGCGCAGGGGCAGCAAACGTCGGCTTATCCTTTTCGTCTTACTGAGTACCTTATGTCTTACTGTTCTACTGTTCTGGCGCCCTCACCGGCTCCGAAATTACGATGACGAATACTTCGCGATGGTCGCGAGTATTCGGAGGGCGCAGACTGACATGAATGATCAGGGAACTGAACAGGCAATATGTTCCACCGATGATCCAGCCTGCTAGAAGGGTTCATCAGGGAATTGTCCCCTGACCCCTAGGGCAAACGCCTCCTCCTCTGGCGATTGCCCGATCATCAACCCGGGTGTCTCACTTGACACCGCCCCCGAAGCAAAAGATCAATTGAGCCATATCCTGTGCCTTTGCTCACCAAGTGCGAATCCCTGTGAGTGCTGAACCTGATACAATACATCGTTACCAAGCTTGCAAGGAATTGTGTGATCGCTGTTGGACGTCGTCAATCGCCCTCCAGGCGTACTGCTGCTTGACTGCTGTCCTACATAGATCATTCTCTGCACATACATTGCACCATCTCTGCCCAGGTGAGTTATGCATGACCTGATTAATATCGAGATAAAGCCTTATCTGTTGTATGGTACACGTCAGTACTGAGAATCGAACTCCGGGTGTAAACGTGGGTGTGTTTTCGGTTTTGGTTTAATCTTTTCGGTTTTACGCTTTCGGCTCAACATTTTCGTATTGTTTTGTTTATTTGTAACCTTTCCGGCTTTGGTTTAATCTTTCCGGCGTTACCTTTTCGGTGCTTTTCGGTTTAAGCTTTTCGGTTTGACGCTTTCGGTTTATCGATGTAACCTTTTCGGTTTCGGTTTAATCTTTCCGGTTTCACGCTTTCGGTTTATTTATCCTTTTTGCTTTAACGTTTCGGTTCCCCGTTTTCGGTTTCATGTTTCGGTTCATCTTTCTTGTCGGCTTAACATTTTCGGTTTCACGTTTCGGCTTAACCTTGTCTGTTCTTTCGGTTTAAACTTCTCGGCTTAACCTTTCTTTACCTTTTCCGTCTTTTCGGTTACACGCTTTTCAAATTTCGGTTTGTCCTTTTCGGCTTAACCTTTTCGGTTTCACGCTTGCTTTCGGTTTTACGTTTGTTTTCGGTCTATCCTTTTCGGCTTAACCTTTTCGGTTTCTTCACGTTTTCAGCTAAACATTTTCGTTCTTTTCGGTTTAATCTCTTCTGCTCAACCTTTGCCGTTTTTCGGCTTAACCTTTGCGGTCCTTTGCGGTCTTAACCTTTTCGGTCCTTTGCGGTTTCACGTTTTCGGCTTCACCTTTTCGTTTTTTTCCGTCTTATATTTTCGGCTTAACCTTTCGGTTTCGGTTGACTTCATGTTTTCGTCTTCACCTTTTCGGTCCTTTTCGGTGTAACCTTTTCGGTTTATCGCTTTTCACGTTTCGGTATGTCCTTTTCGGCTTAACCTTTTCGGTTTCACATCTTCGGCTTTACTATTTCGTTATATTCAGTTTAATCTTTTCGGGTTAACCTTTTCGGCGTATCCTTTTCGGTCATTATCGGTTTCACGTTTTCAGTTTCACGTTTCGGAGAAATTTCTCGGTTTCAACCTTTTCGGTTTCACATTTTCGGTTAATCTTTTTCGGTTTAACCTTTCCGGTTTCACATTTTCGGCTTAACCTTGTCGGTTCCGGTTTATTCAACCTTTTTGGTTTTACCTGTTCGGCTTACTTCTCCTTTTCGGTCCTTTTCGGCTTAACCTTTTCTGTTTCGCGCTTGCTTTCGGTTTCACGTTTTCGGCGTATCCTTGTCGGCTTAACCTTTTTGGTTTCACGTTTTCGGCTTAACTTTTAAGTTTTTCTCGGTTTACTCTTTTCGTCGGTTTCGGTTTATTCAACCTTTTCGGCTTACCGTAAGCATGCGAGAGAGCGCACGGTTTGGTGATATCGCACGTACCGGCCGGTGATATCGTACCCCCGTACGATAAAAAACCAAGAATCAAGTGACTTAATTCGATTGTCGCACAGGGTTCGGTGATACCGCAAGGGGGTGCGATGGCACCGATACCGAGCCCCGAGTGGCTGCGGGACAATCACTGCGCAGGAGGTACTTCGCGGTATCGTGAACGGTGTTGTGCTGTAAGTATGGCAGCATCGCGTACCACCTATTGAAACGCTGGACA